GGAGCCAAAATAGGTACCAATGCTGGAGAATCAACCGAAAATTACACAGAAAATGGAATGGACAACTTAGACAGCTTTAGAGGGGCTATAATTAGAGGAGGGAAATGATGGAGAATCAAACGGAAGAGCAAATGGAAAATGTAACAGGAAAACCGTTTAGGGCTTATAAGGTGTAGACTTTACGGCGAAGTCCGCATCAAAGCTTCACATTTTGAAGCTACGCATCCAGTCAATAGAGCAAGACACATCTATGAATCAGGTGGCGCTAGTTTCGTCGCGCCTCAAAAATTTGAACGGGATAGAATAAATAAGGGTTAAATAGGGATAATGGACAAGAAGATGGACACTTCTACATAGTATATTAGGCTCATATAGGGAGGCAAAGAAGATGGAACTACTATATTATGGCATATTGGGTTTATCTTGGGATAATGGAAAAGAAGATGGAAACTGCTATATAGTATGTCAGGGTCCTCTAGGGATACTGGAAAAGAAAATGGAAACTACTTTCTAGTATATTGAGGTTCTCTAGGGATAATGGAAAAGAAGATGGAGACTACTATGTAGTATAGGGGTTCTCTAGGGATACTGCAAAAGAAAATGGAAACTACTTTCTAGTATACTGGGGTTCTCTAGGGATAACGGGAAAGAAAACAGAAACTACTATATTGCACATAGGACCGGGTGCGTCTGAAAGTCCGTAGGACCTTCGTCCTGCAAAGGAGGTCTAGCAAGCATGGTTCCTCAGATCTTGTGCGTCCCTGTTCTGCTTCATCTTCCATGTGACCCTAAGCCCTAAAAAATAAACTCTGCAAGGATTAGGATTATCCCCGAATGCCCGATTTCCCTTTCACTGCCGCGAGCGAGCCGCCTTCATCCCAACGCTTGACTCTGCCAGCCTGGCTATGTGCTAAGCAGGATATCTAAGGTTTGCATAAGGTTTACGTACCGCATCTATGGGGCTTATATACGGAGCATGAAGTGTTAAGGGATAAACCCTTATAACGGAGAACCACATGCAAAAGAACATGTTAAATGAAACGGCGACAGGGCTTGTATAGGGTTTGGGATTCAGGGGCTAGGTGGGCATGTTACGAAAAGCCAGTGCTTCTCATCCCAGCAACTATAGGGAGATGTGGGTTATAACCTGGTTATACCTTGGGTGTTTTCCAAGCTAGGCTATCTGACAATTCAGGGAGCCTTGATCATGCTGGATTCTGAACTCAAAGCCGTCGCCACTTATCTTTTCCGTTACGACCCCATCCCTAAACCCTAAACCCTAAGCCCTAAGCCCAAGTGAAGCCCGAATGTCAAGACTAATTTGCTTGAGCCAATTTCAGGTAGGGGTCTCGAGACGGTTGGTAAAGGTTTAGGGTTTAGTGGCTCGAGCCCTCAACTCCTAAACCAAGAAAGCTGGCACCATAAAACCCTGCTCCACTCCATGAGCTACAGCTGGGTCATTCATTGTTGAATAGACGGTTGTAATACTCAAGCCCATGGAATGTAGACGTGCAGACTGAGAACTATCCCACTGGGGCACCAGCAAAGGGCAACCCAGCGTTTGAGATCCCTACTCTTCTTGTCAGTAATACTACTACCAATAATAATACCACTAATGATAATAGTAAACCCTGAACCTTGACCCTTAACCCCTAACCATCATACTACTACTATATGACTTTGAAACCCTTTACCCTAAACCCCACACCCTTTGAACCCTAAACCCTAAACTCTAAACCCTCTAAACCCTAAACCCTAAACCCCCTAAACCCTAAACCGTACAGTACATGGTCCTCTTGCCTGCCACGGAATCTCAGGCTCCTGATGCCCTTTGCCGCCCCTGTAGCCCCTTGCTTGCCTCAGAGTTTCAGGGTTTGATTTGGGAATAATATGCTTTAGGGATATATAAATATATAAATATATAGGGTGAAAAACTTAAGGAATAATATGTTATGGATGATATAGGCTTACAATTTTTCAGGAAAAATGGAAAACCAAATGAAAAGAAGTACATGAAATGGATACTGGGATGGCAGATTAATTGTTGATTTGGGTTTAGAGTCTAGAGGCTAGCTTAAAGTTAGGGGGGCTTGGCAAGTATATTATAACCCATTTGAGCCATATCATATCCCCGGCTATTCCCATTCTAAACCTACCTACTAACTCCCCTTCACCCTCCAAGTATAGCCTAAAGACTTGTGATGTGGTTTTGAAATACATCGCACAGTAGTTATGTTATACACGGATTAGGCGTTCACATTGTGGGGACTTGCGGGGCAAGAGTTCACGGGTACAGTCGGGTTCAGGGCCAATTTCTCAGTATAGAAGAAATCAGGTGTTTGGGGATCAGCACAGGGGTGAGCATAACTTCAGGGTGGAAGGAGTGGTATTTTGGATACCTCAGAAATTCCAAGGCCGAGGACTTTAATCCTTGTTCTGGGGACTCCAAAACAGGTACCCCTAATAGCCGTAAGTCCCAAATAAGTGTTTGTTACAAAGCCTACGGCCCCTACATCGGTAGCCCAACTTTTACACTCTGCGTGCAGCCTACAAGTCCGCATCTCTGTAAGACCCCTATCGATCCCAATAAGGCAAAGCCCTGAGGCAAACTCGGGGGTTCAGCGGTCTCCGGATCATCTATTATGCGGGAATTAGGACCAGATGTTAGTGAGTTTCAGATCGATATTAGCAGACAAGAACATGAGCAAATTACCCCTATTTAACACCTATAATATAATAGTTTCCATTACCTTTTCCATTACCCCTATATTACCCCAATATAACCCCAGTATACCCCAAACACCCACGATTTTCCCCAAACCACGACTGGAGGAGATCCCCCCAGTCTAGCATCGGCGCGCTTGCTTACAGAAATTCAGACCGCCCAGTTTTTTTTTGCGAATGGCGATTCCTGAATCGAAGCAAGACAAACGGCGACCACATCAGATGAAGAACGCAATCACATGCCTCTTCTCAAAGTAGGACATCAACAAAACAGTAATGTTGCAAATGCGCCAACACCGCCTTTGCAAACCCTGAGGTCAGGAATTACTGTCCTCGTCCTCATTGTTGCGACGCTAGACTAGCTCTCAAAACACTAAACTTCACTAAACTCTAGGCCCTGAAACTTAACCCCAAACCCGTAAAGCTTTCTAAGACAAAGTTGCTCGGCGTGTCTGTCCCCGTGCCAACGTGGCTCCATACTTTGTTGCTTGAATCGCTCGAAGCTGCTTCAGCAAAGGCAGTCAGAGCACAAGTTTCTTGGCTCAGGAGTAAGGGAGATTTGCTATAAGATCTCTGTTAGGCTAAGCAAATAGGTCCAGGTTAACACTTGAGCTATCCGGGGTATTCAGTAGCCATGACCCTGAGAGTTGTGGACTTTTATGGGTTCGATACTACTGTAACCGAAGCCTAGGCCAACGGCCGCAGTAGCCTCTCTTCAAATCTCATGTCACATACTCCGAAACTGCAAAAGAACTTGGGAAGGGCCATCAAGATCACTGCCCTCTGATCACTTAGCCCACATTACCCTAGGAATAAATACAAGGAATCCCATACCCCAAGAAGTATAAAGGATCCCCTAGGTCCAGGCGGTCGTCCACCCACTCCCTCTTTTGGAGGTGCCTACAAAAAAACATGCATTTTGGAACATACATGGGGGGATCCCTACATTATTCCTGATTACTGGTGCTTAGTAGGAAATGTGGGAATGGAATACAGGCATTAGACTGGTGATTGTAGCATGTGGACATCTACAGAAATGCCTTCTCTGCTAGCCATCACTAGGTATAAGGTTTCTGCGGTTACGTGCGGTTTGGATATGTCTGCCAACACCACCGCGAGCTCTGCTGCGAAGACAGGGAAGCACCCCAACGATTACTTCATCAATCGTCCTGCAGCTACTAATCTCCAAGGGCCCCACAGGGTTCTGATCAAGATGGTTGCCCTTCCACACGTGCAATTTCCCGAAGCAGGCGTCCCACCATATGCCGCAAATGCCATAATCCTTTTTGAGGACTCGCAAGGACGGATCCTGGACCTAAGCTTTAGGACCCACCCAAAAACAAAAAAAACATGCAGAGCAGCGCCACTAGCCCCACTCTTTATGGCGTGCACTGAAATGGGGGGGCACGGGGTTCTCAGTTTTGGGAACTTCTCTCGGGGATATTTTCGGAGTAGGGGGGGGGGGGGGTCCCTGCTTTTGGGGGTCTGTAAGGATAATTTTGAAGAACTTCCGGTCCAAAATCTGCAGTTGGAATTATGTTGATGAAACTTGCAGAAGATGTTAGCGAGCATCACCCACAAGATCCCGAAGGGCTCAGCGACCTAAATGCCCTACCTCCGCACTGTCCTTCAAGGGGGTAGGTGCAGGGTAGGTGAACAGCTTAGTAGACTCAATACTCTCAAGTACCCACTAGTTTTGCCTCTAGACCCTAAACCCTACACCCGTACCTACCGTCCTTGTATTATCTTAAGGATATGCGAGTACCTCCCCTGAATTCTGGCTCCTCTTTGGCTTCCAGGCCCATGCTGTCGCAGTACTGCCTGCACTTGCTGGGAAGCTTCTGGAGTCGAGATACTGTTGGAAACAAGCTGTGTTTCATTAAAGCACAAAGTGGTTTAGCTTTCTAGGGAGGCCCGGCACAAGAAACCCATCATCTTGAGAATTTACGGCAAAGTTATGTAGTGTGTGGACTTGATCACGCAAGGTTCAGAGCCTGCTTTGTCAGCAAGCATTGGCGTTGTATCAACAATGGGAGGGCAAACAAACAGCGGAGGTGGCTGCCTGCCATCCCCAAAACTGTACGCTTTGCTGCGGAACCACATACACAGTCCCTTAACAATGGGCCAGCATGCATGACCTTGCTTCTGGGTCATTTCCGGTAACAGCTTTTAGTTTTTGTATTATGCTAAAACCCAATGGGGGGGGGTACATGATCATATGATTTTGGCCATACCTCCAAGGGAGATGGGATTGGGGATTTTCTCTGCCAAGATGCATGAACAGTTTCCTGTGAGGACGCGTGTAAGGGTCCATGAAGTAGGCCACCTCAGCTGCAGGCGAATGGCGCCAGGGTCCGGGAATGTCCACTCCATAAACTATTCGGTTGAACGCGCTTCCCTACATCATCGTCCGCAACATCTTCTAGTAGTCCCTATATAACCCATTATAGTAGTTTCCATTTTCAGTTCCATTATTCCTATATATAACCCCAATATATATCCTATTATCATGTAGTAGTTTCCACGTTCCTTTCCATTATTCCTATACAACCCCTACATAACCCCTATGATAACCAGGACCACACCGCGAAGCTATGGGTAGCCAGCTTGAAGGCTCGGATACTGCAAGGAAAAGCAAGCAACACAAAGGTTTAGGGTTAAGGGCTTAGGCTTCAGGGTTTAAGGGTTTGGGGTTTAGGGCCGTTGCTGGCATCTACACTTCTAGAGTGTAATTCAGCGTGTGCTCCTGCAAGCTTTTTCCCGAATGCGTAGCAGAAGGGTTCCCGTTTTAAGGTTGGGGTCCAGGGGTCCAAGAGGCGACGCGAGGTCGTGGCATTGTGTTCGCAAAGCGTCCGCGGTGTGTCGGACTTGTGTCGGACTTGCGTCGGACTTGCCGGAGACGAAAATCGTCGCGAAATGCAGAACTGTCGTCACTTTTTAGCTTTCGTATTACAAAAGTGTCAACAGTCACAGGGATCGGGGGGGTCGTCGTCGCG